GGGAGGAGGAAGGGAGGGAGGGAGGGAGGGAGGGGAGAAGGGAAGGAGGATGAGTGGGAAGGGGAGAGGAGCCTGGAGGGGCAGTGTAACCAAGGCAACAGTAGGAAAGCAGGTGGCCTGACAGGGTCCCTGGGGCCTGGCGTTCCCCCTCTGAGATCCTAGCACATCTCGGAGCAAGGGTAGGGATGCCAGGAGAGCCCCAGCTGCTGCTGGCATCCCACCCCAACAGCTCCCAGGCTCGGCCAGGTGGGGGCAGGGAAGCTGGCGGCCTCCAGTTGCCATGGAGACGGGGCTGTGGGGAAGCCAGAGAGCACAGAGGGGAGTGAGGGAGGGAGGAGGGAACAGAGGCTGGGTGGGGGGGCAGAAGGAAATTTAGAACCTACGTGGGAGGAGCCCACCGGGTCACAATGCTCAGGGGTCTTTTCCAGATCACTCTGGCCCCCTGGGTCCTCCCATGTCACCACCAGCACCGCCACCACCGCCACCACCGCAACCCCAGTCCGAGATGATGAACAGCCTCCCCACCTGCCCCACCCCAGGCTACCATTTCCCAGTGAGTAAATCTAAGAGGCATCTCATTTGCAAGATTCCCCCACGTCTGCATTCAAGAGGCCCCTGAAAAATTAGCTGCGGCAGAAGCCAGAGCCCCGTTAACAGTCGCTCCTCCCACCTGCCTGGCCTGGTCCCTGCACCCTCCCCATCAGCATCATCCAGGACTCACCCTTCTCGCCTGAGCCAGGAGAGGGGAGTGGGGGGTGGGGGTGAGCGGGGGTTGAAGCTCCGCTGCCCCTCCCGGACCCTAAAGCCTGTGCAGCCCTCCCTGCCTACAGAGGGAAGAAATCCCTCACTCAGCTGCCAGTCGCTGCCAGCTCTCACCCCCCGCCAGGATCCCGTTTGTGGGCTTTGAGAGCTACCACTTTCATCATATATTTTATTGGAATAAAAAGAAAAACTGGGAGAGATTCACACCAAAGAAAGAGCCACAGAATAGAGGCAAAGAGAAGAGTCGCCTCCTTTGCACATTAACGCTCGTCTTGTAGCGTTTTTTCAAGCTGCACAGATATACGTAGTCCCTTTGCCTCCCACCCCGGCCAGCCTTGCCCTCCCAATGCCGCAGCCCCCCACCCGATTCTCCCTCACGCCACTGCATTGTGCCCACAGCCCAAGGCAGCGTGGAGCCCGCCGGAGGCCACAAAGCAGAGCTGGCCCTTTGGGAGGCGAGGTAATGGGGATGTCCTCTCTCCTTCCGAGGCCCACCTACCTCCCACCCCGAGAAGGGGAATCCTGACCTCCATGAGGTCGGGGCCGGGGGAAGGTTGAGCTGGCCTTACATTGATCTCAGGCTTTGTCCGGTCGCTGCATCCGCCACAGCTGTTCCTCATTTTTACCTGCCAATCCCCCCTGAGGCAGGCAGTTCGGGAGGAGACTGAGGCCCCGAGACACGTAATGCTTTGCCTGAGGTCACAGAGTCCCTGACTCCGGGGCCCCTTCTGCACCTGCTGAGGTCTCTGGGTCAGGCGGGGGGCACCCCGGGGGTGTGAAGTAAGGCGATCGGGGGTGAGGATGGCTTTCTCCTGGGACTTCAAAGCTGGCTCTGAGCATCCCCTCAGAGAAGCTCCAAGGGTACACCACTCTTCCTGCCTAAGTTTCACTGAATTTCTTTCTCCCTGCTGCTGCTGGCTGGTGGGTCTCTCCTTTTCCTCCCAGAGCTGGGTGCACCAGACTGGGCGGTGAGGGCCCCTCACTCTAGGATTCTGGCTAGGAAGTTGGTGGTGGTGGTGGTGGTGATGGGTGAGCTGGGAGGGCCAGGAAATATCCCTAAATCCAGGGAAAAGGCCCGGAGCCGAGCCTCTCCCCCTCTGCCACAGGCCCTGGCAGGGCGTCAGCCAGTGTCCTTCTGGGGAGGGCCTCACCCAGAGCTCCGCTTGGGTGCTCACTCTCTCTGAGCACAGGACGGGGGAGGTGCTCTGGGCGCCCCCTTCCGGGCAAAGGAGCATTTTCAATCATTCCAGGTCCACCTTGTGGGCGGCGGGGTTGGGGTGGGGGGTGAGGTGCCAGTAGCTCCCCCAAGTGATGGCTTCGTCCTCCCTCCCACTCACTGGTCAAACCCTGGGTCTCATACGCCCCTTCCTACCCTAGGTGGGCCCAGCAAAGAAGCCCGAGGAGGACATTTACCTAGATGGTGAGCCCAGGCCAGGTGAACCCCTCCCTCCCTCCGTCCGCCCCGCCCCGAACTGCCCTGAGGCCCTCTGCTGCCCACAGGCAGCACGATGCAGTCTCCTGGCTCCATCTCCTGCCCTTGTCCTCTCTCAGCACCCCTACCATCACACATCTGCCTTCAGACACCCACATGGACGCCTCTGGTCCGGGCTGCCCCACGGTGCCTGCCAAGGAGGGGACCCCCTTAGAGCAAGGGCTTGCGGCGGGGGGGGGGGGGGGGGGGCCCAAACCTCCTAAAGCCTGTGAGCCTGGAGCCCGTGCTCTGCAACCAGAGAAGCCACCGCAATGAGAAGCCCTGCTCCGCAAGAAAGAGAGGCCACTGCAGTGAGAGGCCTGCGCACTGCAGCAAAGAGTGGTCCCCGCTCTCTGCAACTGGAGAAGGCCCGCGCGCAGCAGCAAAGACCCAGCGCAGCCAAAAAAAAAATAAATAAAAATAAATAAATAAGTAAAACAAAGAAATTGGGACATTCGGCTTCTTTAATGCGTTTCCCAGCTGTTGCAGCCAGGACAGTGCTCTGCCTGGTTGGTAGGCTCCCCAAAAGTCAGGCTGCAGAGAAGCAGAGACCCCGCAGCTGTCCCCTGCCCCACCCCGGTCACCCGGATTTCCCCGCTTGGTGCTCAGCTTAACCTGCCCTCTCTGTTTTAGTCCCGGCCTTGCCTCAGACTCTGAGCTCCCAAGTCCTGAGGCCCCCAGTCCCTCTACCAAGGACATCAGTGGGGCCTAGGTGAGTGCCGCAGGTGTGTGCTGGGGGCCTGAAGGGCCTACCCAGGCTTTGCAGCCCTGACCCTGGGATCTCCAGGATCGGGTCACTGGACTTTTTCATTTGAAGGAGGTAAAGCCCCTGAGCTCTGATCCCCAATTCGCTCCCCACAGGCCCACCACAGCCCCCCAGGAAGCTCGGAATGTAAGAGGCTGGGGGTTTGGGCTGGTGGTGGGCTGAGCTGGGAGGGAGAGAGGGAGGCTCAGGGTAGGACTTCCGGCCCGAAGGAGCAGGCCTGCAGGGCCAAGCTCTTCTGACCCAGCATCCTGTGTGCCAGGGAGCGTCGAATGCCACCTCTAAAGGTGAGTACCGCCATTGTCAGCATGAACCCAAGCCCTCTGGCAGGGCCTCCCCTGCGGGCCTCAGACTGCCTCCCAGCCCCCCGCACCCCGCTTCACTGAGGGGGTCCCCGAAGCTCTGACTCCAGCGGAGAGCAGGTCTCAGAGGGCCCCCTGGGCATTCTCCAGGATCTGCACCAAATCAGGAAGCTCCCAACGTGTACCTTAAAATCACTCCTCACTTGGAGGTCACGCGTGGCCTAGCCGGTGGGTCCTACCAGAGCCCTGGGGCAGGGGAGTGAAGCACTGGGTGTCCCGCTTTGGGCTTCAGGCCTTTGCACACCCTCTGTGACCTCCCCAACCTTCGCAGCTGGGCCCCAAGCCTCCTTGGCCTAATCCCCTCTCAGCCCCAGGGCTATAATCTGCTTCTTCCGGCAGGAAGGATAGCCTCTCTTTGCTCTGTAGCTGCCACCCAGAACGCCTCAGCTGCCGAGGTGAGGAGGGGCTGGGAGAGGGCTGGTGGGGGAGGCCCATGGGCGCAGAGCCCGAGTCCCTACCCAGAAGCCCTCTCGGGTGGGTGTCCACCACTGAACACGTGTGTGCAGCTCCAGGTGCGGACACATCTTTGTTCTGCTCGAGTGGCCGTGAGCACGAATAACTGCAACCCGGGGGTTCTCTGCTTCCCACCCCCGATCCAGTGCCCTGGCGCATACGCTGAGCCGCTGTGTGTGTATGTACAGGAAGGCGATCTGCTGGGCCAGCCTCGGTCCTCAGGGAACTGTGACCGCCACGCTGTTGAGAGTGCACTGCTCCGACGCCAAAAGGTGGGGCGCCTCAGGCCCCCTGCGCCTTCTTGGGAAACCGTTTCTGCCCAGGGGCTGAGGCTGGCTGAGCCGGCGGGAGCAGCTGGGCAGGGGTCGGAGTCAGGGCTGTAGCTGGAAGGTGAGGCCGGCGATGGGCTCTCCTCCCCAGGACGGGGCCTACACCGTGCGCCCCAGCTCAGGCCCTCGTGGTTCTCAGCCCTTCACCCTGGCAGTACTCCTGCACGGCCGGGTCTTCAACATTCCCATCCGCCGGCTGGATGGCGGGCGCCACTACGCCCTGGGCCAGGAAGGCAGGAACCACGCGGAGGTGGGTACTGGAAGAGGTAGGGGGCTGAAGGGCAAGGCACAGCAGAGCAGCCCCTGGGCCCAGCCGGGAACACTGCCCTGGGGAAGACCCCCCATTTTTGTCTTTTTCTGGAGTGGGTGGAGATCTCAGTGGCCAGCGCCCAGAACTCCTTCCCCGAGGCCGGCACTTTGAGAAGAGGCCCCGTCTGCTCTGGGGGAGACACCCCTCGTGAAGGGTCCGGTCTGCATGGGGCCAAGGTGGGGGCATTTGTATGAACCCAGCTGGGAGGACGGCAGGGCCCAGGTAGTCCAGATTCGTGTCTGTACCAAGGACTCGACTTTGCACCCAGCACTTGCTAGGCTGCAGACTAGAGACAGTCACAACTCAGCTCCCCACACGGAAGGACCTGGGCAGAGGCCTCAAAGTTATTTCATCTGGCCTGGGAAATAGGAGTCTGGCCAACAACATGCGCACGGGTGCCATCACAGGAAAGGCCTGGAACTGGGCAACAAAATGCAGTGGGGCTTCATGGGGCAAACAGGAAGGAAAATATTTAGAAAAATGTCAACAAGCTCCCTCGCCAGAGCCCCCCAGCTCCCTCAGGAAGTTTCTCCCTGCATGAGGCTCACTGATGCCCTGCTTCCCCGTCCAGCTCTCTTCCTCCGTGGCCGCCATGGTCCAGCACTACCTGCAGCACCCCCTAACGCTCGTGGACAGACACAGCGGCAGCCGGCAGCTCACCTGCCTGCTCTTCCCCACCAAGCCCTGACGCCACAGCGCACGTGCACCCCGGCCTCCGGTTCCATAGTTTGCTCCTCGGGCTGTCTCCCTCTCCTCTCCCAGGTCTCCACCCCGCCAGCCCCCGCTCCCCCATCCTGTGCCCCAGTCCCTGCAGGCCTCCCTGAGTGGCATTGGGAAGGGTTGCCCAGAGACAGAAAGGGTCCCTAAGATCCCACCCCATGCTCACCCAGAGCCTGGCACTGCCACTCCCTGCTGTACCTCCAAGACTGGGAAGCAGGGGACAGGCAGGGCCTCCATTCCTGGCCCCCAGGCATGGCCTCCCAAGCTGCTCTGAATGAAGGCCTCCCCTGGGAAGCTGAGCCTCAGGGGGATAGTAAGGGCTTCTACACAAAGAGAATCCTCTCACATTTTGGGGGAGGCTTAACACGGGGCTGGCATCTGGAAGGAACTTGGTCGCCCTGAACATAGTTTGCTTTCAATAAATATCTGTTGAATGAATTCTTGAATTCTGTTGAGTAAAGCAGATACGGCCTCCATGAGGCGCCAAGGTTCGCAAGTGCCCCAGGGCACAGCCTGGGCCCGGGAGCGCCGGAGCAGTGGTGGCCAGGCCAGGACAGAGGAGCCAGCCCCATTTCTGCCCCTGACTGGGGCCTTGGCCCTTAGATGGTCTGTGGCGGCCGCCCCGGGTGGCTCAGTTTTGTTTCCTTCTGTTTGTGGGAATCGGGGTGGGGGAGGAGAGAGGCTTGGTGCTGCACGGCCACCCCATGAAACGAGAAGAATGGAGTTCGGTACTTGACCAGCGCCCATGTACCACACACCGATCCAACGGGGAGAGAGGCGCCTGATTTTGCGCCCTTGGTGTTGTCTGGAGTAGGGGGGACGGGCGGACCCCCGTTAATATCTGGGTATTGAACGCGCCAGGCCGCTATGGAAGGCTCCACGCGGAGCTCAGAAAAGACGAGAGGCCATCGGAGCACAGCTGCGCGACCGGCGCGGCCGGGGAGGGAGGCTCCAGGGCTGGGGGCTCGGAGATAGGCCGCTGGCCCGCGGACGGGCGGGGCGGGCGGGGCAGGCGGGAGAGCGGAGGAGGGAGGCCCAGCGCGGGCTGGGCCGAGGGGCGGGGGCGTCCCCGGGCCCTGGCGCGGCGCCCGGAACACCCCGTGCCGGAAGCGCATGTGACCGTGACTCCGCAGAAGTCGCGAAACAAAGGGCGGCTCAGCGGCTGCCGGCGCTCGGGCTGGCACGGAGGGTTCCGACTCCTGCCCCTGGCCGGGGTCCCGGCTCTGCCCCGACAGACCCTGCGCGCCCAGGCCGGGCGGGGAGGCTCCCGATGCCCCCGAGGCCCTGGGCCCCGGGGGGGGGGGGGGTAGCAAGGGATCCCCGGGGAGGTGGTTAGGGAGGGTGGCCCCGAGGGCGAGCGATGAAATGCGAACACGAGGCTGGGTGGACGCTATGGGGTCCAGGCTGGGCTGAGACCGTTGATGGTTGCCTTCACCACTGCCAGCTCTGGCAAATTACCCTCTCCCGACCTTGATTCCTGTAACAGAGGTGAAGATAATTGTCCCTACCAGGTATCCTATGGTTGGGAAGCTTGAGTGAAGCAGTCCATGTGGAAGGGGAGGACAGTGCAGCGCCTAATGGGCTGCACTCTGGCCCTTCTTTCCCAAATGAACATGCATGTGAATTCCAGTCAACGAACTGCCACTTTCAGTGTTCACACAGCAGGGCACCAGGAGGAAGAGCAGGGCGGGCAGCTGGCACCGGGCGGGGTGAGGGTGGGCACTGCTGTGCACCGTATGTGGGGATGGGGCCCCAAGACAGCCTCCCTCTGCTCGGTTAGCCAGCCCTGGCTCCCTCTGGGCGGTGGATGGGAGTGGCCACTTTACACTTTCCCCAGGCTGACTCAGGTAGGAGCTCAGGGCTGGAGAATGGGGGGGGGGGGCCGCCTTGGGGGGGGCCGCCTCAGCCCCCCCACCAGCTCCCCCAGGGCCACGCTAACGGCAGGGGGTGCGGGGGAGGAGGGGGGGGGGGGGGCCGCCTTGGGGGTGGCCTCAGGGTACATATGGAATTGATTAGAACCCTGCAGTTCTCCCCGCAACCCAGTACTAAACCAAGCAGTTAATGATTAGGACAATAGTGTCATAGACTCAGTGTTGGATGTGCATTCCTGAGTTGTTTTACAGATACTGTAACTGCCACCAGAGGAAGAATGCTAACTGTATGATGACCATATTGTAGCCATGACATAAGCTGCTCCATCTTGAGCAGTACTGAATCTATGACTAGCACAATTCCAAGAACTGTCCTGAAGAGAACAGGATTAACATTATTGCTCATAATATTCTATATCTTTGTGGGCGTCAAAATGATTGTAGCTTGCTCTGCCCGTATATGTAAGCGGGCAAGTAAAATTGTCAGCAAAGAGGTGCTACAGACCCAGGCTGACATCTTCCATTTTGAGAATACTGTGCCCTCTGTCAGCATGAAGAAATTACAGAATATAGACCGTTGCCCGTAGTCCCATAGAAATGGAATGATATTTGACAGTGGGGAATTGAAAGTAGCTCTTTTGTCCCTTTCCTGTTTGCCATTTCTGTTCCCCTCTAACCTTAAAAGAACCTAATTATAGGAATGAGATCACTAAGCAATTGAAACGAACTTCTGATCTCTCCTGAATGCACACCATGCCTTGTCTAACTTGTTGATTCTTTTTCTAAATTAAAAGAAGTAAGAATAAAGAATTAAACAGTTAAAAAATGACTGTCTATCCGCAATTGCCCCCTTAGCAATCCTGCAGGCAGATCACGCAGGCAAGATCACACCTGAAGTGTCAGCCAGTCTGCACTCAATGGAGAATGATGCAGAAGCCAACCTCCTGCCTCGATGATTCACTGAGATTCTTCCCCCTCATTTTTCCCGTTAAAAAATGTCATGGCTGAGCAGAATCTTTAGAGTTGGTCTCTGGACATGAATCCACCTTCTCCCCAGATTGCTGGCTTTTCTGATTAAAGTACCTTTCCTTTCTACTGACACTTGCCTCTCAAATTATTGGCTTTTGAGCGGTGAGCACCAGAACCTGAGTTTGGTAATGCATACAGTCAGACTCCTGCATCCCCCACCAGACGTGCAGGTTTGACTTCTCTGGAGGAGCCCTCCACCCTAGAGCCTGTTTTTACCGAGTCCTGAATTTACGTAGCCCTGAAGCCACGTGGCCTGTGGGAGGTGCAGTAGAGGCCACAGCACAGAGCTCGGGAGTTAGTGGCTCAACAGGGACTCTGCTTAGTCCCAGCTGGGTGACTGACTTTAAGGGGACTGGTCTCATTCCTTCCCTCCCTGGGGAAAAAAGAGAGGAGTAGTCCAGGCAGTGGGGACAGTCTGTGATAGCGGACGCAGAGGGCCAAAAAGAACATGGTCCGGAGAGCAACTCAGCCTCACTAGTGCCTCCTCAGACTGCAGGTCTGTGCTTACATGTCCCCTTCTCCAGGAAGCCTTCCCGGCTGCCCCAACCTGGGCTCAGGCACTTAACACATCTGAGAGCAATTGCTTTTTCACTCCAAAGGACCAACTGCTACAACTGCCCACTATTGTGTATCCAGGGCCTGGAATACAGTAGGTGCCAAATATTTATTGAAAGAGTCACTGAATAGGTCAAGTCTACCCTGGATCCCTCTAAAACTCATAGCGTTCCTTGATCAGGGCTTCCTTTGTAAGAGAAAAATCTAACCCAGTGCTTCCCAATAGAACGTTCTGTGATGATAGGAACATTCTGTATCTGCATTGTTCAGTACAGTAGCCATTAGCCACAAGAGCACTTGAAATGTGACTAGTGTGACCAAGGAACTGAATTTTTAACAATGATGTCATTAATTTTCAATTAATTTAAATTGAAATAGCCACATATAGGCACGGCTATACTGTTGTTGTCTCTTGCCTTCCTGAGTGTGAGGGACAGCGGTAAGAGAGAAAGCTGGAGAAGTTGGTGGAGGGGGGCTGGGTCCAGAGGACACCAGGAGGCCTCCGTTATGAGGGTGAGCACAGGGGAGCCATTGAGGCTGTGGGCCGGAGTGGGTGCAGGAGGGATGGTATTTGGGGAGGATCGCTCTAGGTGTGAAGTGCTGAGTGGGTGAGAGGGCAACACAGAGGCAGGGAGAGGAGTTAGGAGCTGAAGATATTTCTGTGATCCAGAGAGAGATGACACCCCTTGTTTTTCACCATGCCAGTCACCCTCCAAACACCCCCTTTTCCATTTCCCCTCACGCAGCAGGCTAGACTCTAGACAATTCTAAGCAGGGTCACCGACTGGGGGAATCAAGCCTTGGAGAAATGCCATTTGGTGAAGAAACTCATGGATTACCCAGAGTGCTTTGCTGTCTCCAATGGCCTGGAAGGGCCTATAGGGCTGACGGGAGCCAAGAAGGTGTACAGCTGGGAAGGGCCTGAAAATGTGGCCACGCCCAGACAAGACCACACCTGTGGGGCTCAGAATGCGCTCTATGCAACCGGCCAGCAAGCTTTTCACTTTGGTTTCTAAAGAGGCCGTCTGGGAATTCCCCGGTGGTCCAGTGGTTAGGACTTGGCGCTTTCACTGCCAGGGCCCAGGTTCGATCCCTGGTTGGGGAATTAAGGTCCCACAAGCTGCGTGGTGCGGCCAAAAATAAATGAATAAATAAATAAATAAAAGCAAATAAGAGGTAGTCTGATCCCTGGGCAAAAACATGGGATCTGGGGGCCAAAGTCCCAACTTTGAATCCGGTTCAGTCACTCACTGCCCACGTGACCTTAACCTTGGTCTCCTCACTTTTAAAACGGGGCTAATCATACCTACTTCTTAGGGTTGTCGTGACAATAAGAAATGCTATGCATATATATATTACATATACTTAGCCTAACACAGAGCCTAACGTGTAGTAGAGCTGAATGACTGGTACCTGATAACAGTCCTGACTGTGAATAGGCCAAGCCTGATTGTGGTCCTGCCTGCATGCTCCATCTTCAGGGGCTCCCCTAACTCTAGTTTCCCCAACACAC